ACTTTATAATGGAATATGTTCGTCTTCACCGCCGCGGAGATTATGAATGGACTCCGTCGCTCTCGAGATTATCACGATGTACCCGCGCCATTTCGAGTGTATTCGCTGTCACCGCAAAATTGTGGAACTGCCAAGTCACGAAACCGCTGTCCATGACAGCAAAAGCACGGTCACTTGCTTACACCTGCACTCGCACTAACTGCTCGCGCACCTTGCTGTCACCTCCGCAAAAGATCGCAAGCACAGCACCAACCTCTGGTCTCCAGCAAGAGCGTGGAGCTCTTCCCAGGAAGGCAAGCATCCACTCGCACCAAAAAGAGCGCAGGTCGCAGGTGAAAGCGGTCGCTACATTGATTCAAACCCCTGAGTTAAGAAACCCACACGCCTGCCATCTGAGTGTGCAAAACATGGGAGGCCTTTTGAGACATGCTTTGGATTCAAGCTGACCCGGCCTTTCACAACCACCCATGTAGAATTCGAGGGCTGGCAAGCTCCAATTGATGTGGGCGTTTAAATCACGCAAGCCTGAGAAACCTCCAAGTGTTCTAGCTGCCCACCAGCCTTTCAATCTGCAAAACACATGACTCTCCCTCTTCCCTGCCATAGCTACACCAGCCCAAATTGAGAACCGACCCAAAGCCAAACAGAATTCAAATGATGGCAAAAGATCATGGCACACATCCTGGGTGGGCAAGTTGACTGGCCAACCGGCCAGTTCGCACGGTTGGCTGGCTGGCCAATTGCCAGTCGGAACCGCCCGTATGCCTTCTGGAAGTCCCTACGGCCAACATATCGGCCAGAAAACGGAAGTTGCGGACACATCGGTCCCGAAAAACTGAACGACTCGCTGATGCCACTCGTGGGCTCCAACCATCAAAGTGTTCAGACCCTGAATGCCAAGTTTGTAGGTGTGTTTTCCAAATTCCTCAAACCAGCCCTTTTCAGAGGAAAAAAGGTAGCTGCATTCCCAAGCCGCGCGAACCAGACCCGCGCTCGCCGCAACCCTGACGCCGCGCCTCCTTTGGAAGGTGTTCGACGCTCTCTCCTCAGATGACACCCCCGGGTAGCTTTCCTTTTCGTGCCTGTATATGAAACACCGTGCACCCCCTGCAAAAAGGGAACCCTAAACAAAACCTCCCCCCCTGCTCGATCCAAAGGCCATCAGAATCAACACATCTCAGGCGAGGTCCCACCAATCGATCCTCAGCACGTCGGCCATGCCCCTCCCACATAGGTTTGGCTTGCCTAACCTTTCGCAAACCCTTCCGCCAGGACAAAATGACGCTGGTCAGGTACCAGGGCAAGGACACTTCTGCTTCTCATCCGCCGAAACTACTCCGATGCCCGCTCCACAAAGACAACTACGAAAGGTTCAACACATGTGCTTTCATGCACAGAGGGGTCAGGTGGGGGCGCTGCAAGCATCAGCCGGATGCCGAGTGGCACAGACCAAGGCATAGCTTGCACCCGATCCTGCCAAGAAAAAGGCAGCATGCCTTGTGTGTTCCATGCCAACGTGCGGGGGAGTAAGGGAGTAAGCATTCAGAGCAAGGATGTTACGCAAAGCCCCGCAAAGCCCGCAATTTCAAGTTTGACTCGGGTATGGCAGCACCATCCTGTTGACTTCCTTCCTGTAAGCCGCGCAGCCGCAAGTTGCGAAGCTATGCGACGCTCTATCCGCCGGCCAGGATCCTAGCAATTGCTGTCTGACTAAAATACGCAGGTAGGCAACTGGTCCCCTCAATGGCAAATCGAACATACATACTATAGTACCTTGGTAGAAATATATATATATATATATGTGTATATGTGTGTGTGTTTGATGTACAATTCCAATATACATACACGTGCAAAAGTGCAAATTAACGGATGTTCGGAATTCTAAGAAAACGATCTTGATCATGTGAGCTCGCTTTCACCCCGGGTGAGCCCTCTGTAAAAAAAAGGGCATATACTGTAGATCTGTCGAATCATCATCATTTATTCACTTGTGAATGAATTGCCGTGTGGTTCCTAGGGATTTTGTTTGGACTCTGGGCTCTGGTCCCAGTCCCTGGTGTCAAGCCCGGCTTCGCCTTCCCGAGTCTCTGCTGGCGGCTTTTCTGGCTTCCCCTGGCGGTGTGCAACAGGCAACCTGCCTCCCTGAGAGCCACTTCGAGGCTTGGAACAGCTCGATCTCATTCATGGGCCATGAACGCAAGGATCTGTGGAAGGAATGCAGGGACATACAGCTAGAATGGCTGACTTTCCCTCAGGTTCTCTCTGCCTCTCTCACTCTCTCTTGGTCTCTTTTGTGGTTTGTTTTTTTGTTTCTCTCTCTCTCTCTCTCTGTCTCCCTGCACTTCCAGAGCAGCAAGGCAACGAAGAAGGCCCCCCCCCCCCCGACACTCAGGGGTTGTTGTGAACGTTTCTGACTACTTTCTGACTCTTTCAAGTGCAGTCTTCGAATCGCCTCCCCTCCGTGATTGTAGCCAAAATGGGTGACCGGGAAAGGACCAAAGGACCATCTTGACCCCTGCCCCAAACTAAACGCCAACAGGCGTGCAAAGCACATCCCTTGGATGTCACAACCCTCGGAAAGCTCGGGAAGAAGGCGAAGGGCGGCCTTCAACCGGATCACAAACGGGGGGGGCATCTTTCCCATTGGTGCTTCCATGCGTTCCCACTGCCCACGTTCCAAGTTCCCGATGAGTTGCCAAAGCCAGCCGGCAACCCAGGGCCTGCACGGCTGGCTTTGAGCCGAGGTGGAACTGCAGCGTCAGAAAAACCTGCCGGCCGCGGACAGATGTTGGCTGGCGGTTTTACGTGGGCTGCAGGGGTTTTCTGCCGAGATGCAAAGCCACAGGTGCCAGGAGTTATCCAACAAATGTGTTTTTCCTGTACGACCCCCTCCAAGAAGCCTCGGTTGCTTTCTGCTTCCCTGCTAAAAGTTTTACTTTTAGTGGTCTAATGGAAAACCCATTAGTTGGCAAAAAGTTAAAGTCCTAGCATCCAAGCAAAATGCACCCAAGAAGCTGAGTCCTGCACCTCCTCTTGAAAGCAAAAGCTCACCTTGGAGCCCTCCGAAATCGTTGCGTCGGCCGACCTGGGTGTGACAAGGCGCAACCGTCTGGCAAAACGCATGAGGGCCGAGCATGTTGAGCAACAGAATGACATGATTCCGAAACCTGCAGTAAGAACCTTCACTTGGTGGATGTTGGAAGGGGAGCCCCAACAAAATAACAGTTGAGTGGGGATTTCCCAGTAAAACACGATAATCAAACCATGTAAAATATTTCCCAGCAACAACCATGTTCACCCCCCCCCCCCTTGATGGTTGACAGAGCCCCCCGGCTCGTCGGCGCCTGCAGCCACAGACTTCCCGTCCACCAGGATGGGGTTCTGGGAATGGGGCACCAGGCGCAAGCACGGCCGCTGGCCCCAAAACCAGCTGGAATCTTCCGGCCAAAGCTCGAAGTGCGTCTTGCCTGCAGGGTCCCTTGACTTTCATCGGGTGCCGGTGCTTCTGGGAATCAGGAAGCAAGACGCCGGACTGGCCGGCCATCCCTCAGACGTTAAGCAATCTTGGGCCCGGCAATGCCAAGGTCTAAATAATACAACGCGCAAATCAAACCAACAAAAACTTTAATTTAAGCATTTGTTGGGCCTGGCAATGCAAAGGTCTGAAAAGTGCAACGCGCAGATCATTTTGTTGTTTTGTTTTTGTAAAAACAAAAGAGAAAATAAGAAGAAGAAGAAGAATAAGAAGAAAAACCACTTCCAGTGCGGCCAGGGTGCTGATGCTGGAGCAAAGCCGTCGGTCTGGCACCATCCGCACGAACAGCTCCACCTGAAGGTTCCGGGCTTCTGTCTGTCTCTCTGCCGTTGCGTACAGACTTTTTTTGACTCAAGGCAACGAGAAAGGCGCCCACTGATATTCAGTGGCACCCAAAACATAGCATTTCAGGTTGTTTGCAAGTGTTTGCAGCTTCCAAAGGTCTCATCGCCGCTATTGGATTGCTACGTATCTGGCTGCGGTTCCAAGAAAGCACAAGATTACCATGGGAAGGTACAAGCTAGTTTTCGATGGCTACCATTTTCTTCAGCATTCTGCCAGAGCACCTAGAACAACCAGTGGCTGAGGTTCGCTTGGGATGTCTGACTGAAGCTGTCTTGGACCAAAGGCTGCCACGCGGAAGCCCCGGCAAACCAGCGTGTTGGCTGATGCACAAATTCAAATTTGTATCCAACCGCGCCCTTTTAGCGTGCCAAACCCCGAAGCAGTTCTGACCAAAGCAAAAGCTAACAGCTCTTTTTTCGCGTCCATTCCCAAAACTCGAAGCATGAACACATCATGGGCACAAGAAGCACAATTGAAGAAGCTGCCTGTCGCTCAGCCGCACAGAAAGCAGACTCACACAGACTTCCCGGCTGAACACATTGCCGAGCTCAGTCCAATTGTTGTGTCTTGGAAGGAATTTCTGCATTGCCACCCTTGCAGTCCTGCAAGAGTTGCATGTAAAGCGTACATGTCCACGCCACCATTCCAATGTAGGGTGTTCCAATACAAGGGTTTTCCAACATAGCCCTTGCAGCCCCATTGGTTTTTTTGATTGAAACTCAGAAAAAGCTCTTCCCCATTTAACCGCAGTTTCCCAACATAGAAACTACTCTTGACCCCCTTCCCTCTGCGTCCAGCTTCAGTTCCCGCCATTTTAGCCGCCCCTTTGGCACGCAAAGGGAAATCTAGGGGTACCTTCCCCATTCTTTCCAGGGATCCTTCTTTTCAGGAATCCATCCAAATCCTTGGGGAAACAGCGATCTGTTTTTTAATAAAAAACGATGGTTGAAAAGAATGGACAAGGACTCAACCCATAGAAAGTCATTTTGGGTGTGCGCTTTCGAGGCCAGTCGGGAAAAAATCCAACCCATGGCACCTCCCATGGCAATCCAACCCTAGAGGAAACCCCTTTAGTCGCGCCTGGTGCTGGCGGCCGACCAGCCAAGGCGGCTGCCCCTGAAGGCGCCAGCGCCGCTGCTCCCGCGGCAGCGCCGATGCCTTGCCCGCACATCTGCGGCACATAGACGTCTGAAACGTGTGCGCTGTAAGCTTAGGTTCTGTTTCATATATGCGTTGTACTCTTAGAAACACATGCTTTTGGAAACTTTTGATTTTAGGGGAGCGGCCATCATGGGAGGCCTGAGCTGTTCAACTGAAAAGGAAGCCCAAAACAAGTTGTTCGCTCGAGCGGGATTCGACATGAAGCTGTTCAAGGGGAGAACCGACCACATGCCCACTGAAGAAACGGGAAGTAAAAAGTCAACCAACGGGATGCAGTCCAAAGGGGCCTAAAAAGGAGGTATTTTGAGTAAATGTTAGTCAGAAGGGGGCATGAGGATGCTTTTCAGTAGCAAACGAGGCTACAGCTACTCGCTTAAATGGGCTTTCGAAAGAAGCTCTCATGACTTTGCCCGTCGATAGCTGAGGTACGGTTCGGATTAACATTGAAGTGCCGTATGTTCTGAGGACATGTTTACCTGCTGGTCAAAGGGAATGCCCCCTCATTTGCGGATTCTTTTCAGACCAGGGAACCCCTACATCCACTTCCAGAACGGGTCCCTTGCGATCCCTTCGTCTCTGGAGACCTGCCTCCAGCTCCGAGGAAAAGATGCACTCGAAGGACGCCTCTACTTCGGCCTGCAAGCGGTCCACCCCCGACAAAGGTGGGGGTGGTGACGGGGGGCCTGCTTCACCTGGCCTGTTGTGGGTAATTGGTACCCATATTCTGGCCCCTCATCCTTTCAGAAGGAACACGGCCAAATGAAGAGAAAGGAACGCGCCAATGAAGAAAGCAAAGTTGGCCAGGTTAGAAAGAGTGAGTTACTCGCAGGCGTCCGACCCACCCTTCACCCCCCTGCAAATTAACATGACACCGGAAAATGGGGGGTCCCCTATTTCGAGATTCCTCGAATCGAAGGCTTTTGGGGGGTCCAGCTTTGTCATCTTTGTCTGCGGTGCTATTGAGCTGACGACGCCCGGAGATTCACCGTTGCAATGAATTCACCGAGAAAAAGGAAGAAGACGGAGGTCACTCAAAGGCTGGTGAGAACACCGACAGAAAGCACGTGGAAAGCCTCCATTCAATTCCCCCCCCCCAACCCCCCCAAAAAAAACTCCAACAAAAAACACAAGTCTGTGGGCAAGCACGTTTCTTGTGAGCCACGTTTGATTGCGGATTGCCTTAGCTAGGTCCTCCAGATTTGAGAGGTTAGAATAAGAGCACTTGTTTTTTTCTGCAGTCTATTTTAGTAGGGGAACCCTCCAACAGTTGGTCAAAGGGCACCTAGCTGGGGGACCTAGACCACTTTCGGTGGTTCCAAAAAAGGAAACGGCTTGGTGGTCTCAAAATGGAAACCCTGAAGTTCCAAGAGCTGCAGCAGGCAAGCCTATTGGGGCCGGGCATCCGCCCGCTTAGCCGCTTAGCCCTCGCCTGGGTCTCAGAGCGCCGGGAGCGGTGGCACTGCATCAGCAGCTCCTGAGCGACCATGGCCATCCCCGGCGGCGGCCTCCAAAGACCCGAAACGAGGCCGCCCCCCGAAAACTGTCTGCTGCCTCAGCTGAAGAAAACACCGCCAAAAACAAGGAAACCACAAGGAATGGGCTTGTGGGGGGTCATTCCCTCCTAGGTCCTCCAGATTTGAGGGGTTAGAATCACGGTACCCTTTTTGCTGTAGTCTATTTTTAGTAGGGGAACAGTGGTGATGACAGTGGTGATTTAGTGGTGACATGTGCTCCACGTACCCGTGATTTAATAGCGACATGTGGTGACTGCTCTCATTTGTTTAGTGGTTTGAGTCATGCCCATCATGTTCACACCTTGCGATCCACCCCCATATACCTTTCACAAAGAAAGCAAAGAGCCGAAAAAACCTGGTGTGCCCTCCATGTTTCGTGCTGCTCAGCAGGGAATGAGGGAATGAACCTGAAAATTCACTTCGTTTGGAAACTACAAGGGATGGGTTTGTGGGGGTCATTCCCTCCTAGGTCCTCCAGCAGAGAGGTTAGAATGAGGCTACCAACTTTTTCTTGTTTGTCTATTTGAGTAGGGGAACCCTCCCCCAAAAAAGGGTGAAAGGGCACTTCTGGGGGACCTAGAAACCGAGTGGGGGGCTTCTGCTGCCTCTGCTGAAAACATGAAAAAAATAAAACGGGCTGGTAGAGAAGTACGTGCAACCGGGAATGGCGCTTGCTGAGCCTTTTGTGTTAGTTTAGTGCGTTTTTCTTTTTTGGGGGGGGGAGGGGGCAATGGCTGCAACCTCTCTTAAAGCAGATGGCGCTTGACTTAAGGCACAAACGACGATGAGCGTGAATGGCGAACATGCCAGTGGTATACAAGCCCCGCCTCGGTTTGGACACTTGCCAGCTCAAATGAGTTGTGCCTCCTTCGTGTGAACCAAGGAGAAACAAACAAATCGCTTAACCCTACCCAATCATCCACTCACTAAGGCCAGTCTTCCAACCCTGCGACTCATGTCTGTAGCCCATTCCACTTTGAGTTTCAACCACAAAATCCACACGTCTGTGAGAGAGTTTTTGAGGGCAGCTGTTGGTTGTGTGCCTAGTGCTGTTTAGGGCAAAGATGGCTGTGTCTCAAACAATGGTGCCCAAGATGGCACCTAGCTAACTGTATGAAGACAACAAATAAAACCGGCGTAGCCCCAGCTGATTTACATGTTGAGCCCAAACAAATGTTGCAAGGGTCCCTCTCCAACAACCGCGGGAGGCGAGCGATCCCCTCCAGCTTCATGAAAAGCATAGTGCCTTGCGAAAATCTGACATTCATCAGGGTTCATGAGGTTCATGGCCTGGATTTTCGGAAAAAAAAAACAATCCAACCAAAGGCTAAACTCGGTTGCTTTCTGTTCCCCTGCTAAAAGTTTAACTTTGAGTGGTTTGATGGAAAACCCATTAGTTGGCAAAAAGTTAAGGTCCTAACATCCAAGCAAAATGCACCAACAGCTGAAGATCACGCGGATGCGGCCTGGAGCCGGCCACCTTGGACATGGCGCAGCGCAGCGCGAGGTCCGCCAGGAGCTGTGCAAAGAGTGGGGGCCAGGCAGCGCTGCTGTCCAGAGGCCCCAGCAGCTGCTGGAGCCTTGGATACACTTCAGACGAACACGGAAGCTCCCAGAAGGCCTCTGTAAATGGAACCAAGTCTTCTAAAGGGGTCCTGGGAGCTTCCTCAGTCTGGGAAAAGTTACGCCAAAGGTCACCATTCCCTGTCGCCAAGAAATTGGCAGACAGCCCCAACACATTTATGAAGGACGACGCCATTGCAAACTGCTGTTGGCGCGCCAGTGCGACGTTTGTAAAAAAGGCAACACCCCATAAAATGAGCGTGTTCCACAGAATGAGCAAAAGAATGCGCCCACGTGGATCGGCGTGGTCGACGTGCAAAAAAAACAGAGACTTGGTATGACGGTGCGTCAACGGCCCATCGATCCCATCTCTCGCGCTCGACGTTTTCGCGTTTTCGCCGCGCCTGTCAGCAGCCTCATGGCCAGCGCCCTTGCGCAGAGCGTCCAACTGCTCGGCCTGCGCTCCGGGGAGAGCGAGGGCACCTTGCTGTTCAAACCTTGCTGGTCTCAGGGAATGGCACCGAAAAAGACCGTGCCTTGTGGCTTCCTCTAAGGGGATCCCTGGGTTCAGGCCCACATTCCCGAATGAGCACCAGCAAGCAAAGCGCTGTTCAAGCTCCCCGGAAAGATGCGATTATTGAAAACTCAAGAGGGCATCGCCAAATCAGGTTAAATTGAATTCAGCCAGCCAAGTCAACCAAGCAAGCACACAATCAAGCATTCAGCCAGCCAAGCAGTCAACCAAGCAAGCACGAAAGCAAGCAAGCGAGCAACGAGAACGCCTGGAACCCAGCTAAGCAAGCATGAAACCAGGCCAAGCCACCACGCATGCAATCCCCGCACGAAGCGCGCGCCTTGGCGCCAGCGTGGGCCTTCTGGGCGCTGGCGCTGCTGGGCAGCAGCAGCTCCAGCAGCAGAGCTGCCAGGTCCCAGATCTCCGCCACCTGCGACATCCATCGGCCCCATCGCCCCCCCCCGCCCCCGAAAGGAGGTGATGTGGACCCCAGACAAAATAAAAGCAGGCCCTGTTTAAATTATTAGGGTGCTTCTTTTCTTCTGGGTGACATGTGGGGAGTCAGACCACTGGAGGGGACACCCCCATATTCATAAAAACATGGGTTTCTTCATCCGGGGTCAGCATGGGGCTGTTGAAACAAGCAATATATAAGGTTGTTGTACATTCTGGGAGGCATGCCAAAAAGTACTCGTTGGTTTCAGGTGTGGGCTTTCGGCGCAGGGTGCAGGTGCAGGTGCGGATTGGCGCACTTTCCAGGCACCAACCAAATCGACCACTAATTCTGGCAAATCAGGTGCTGCTATGAACACATGTGTCCGCCCCCCCCCCCCACACATGCTTTATCCCCATGGGGCACGTGACGAGACACCCACGGCCGAAAGCAACACAAATTGGATTCGCAAGTGCGGAATGGCCGCCCGGCCGCGGAGAGCCCATCACAGAGACTCCTGACGCTTGTAACTCTATGCCAAGATTTCAAGGCAGGTCCAGCACGGAGCTCAAGTTCTCTGCGCGGTTCTCCTTCAGCGAAGTTGCATCCGCACTGTGAGGTGCAACGCTGCGGCATCACAGCAGCCGATTCAGCTTGCGCCACTTCGTTTGAAGCGGTGAGTGAATACGTTCGACGTGAAATCAAAGGACCTTATTTTTGGGCATGCTGTGGGTGGGCGGGGCAGCTGGTGAAAAGAAGCATAGTGCTCAAAACCACGAGACGGAGCTTTGGACAGGGTTTATGGGACCCGCTTTCAGCATGCCCCAAGAAGTAAAACTGGGAATGACCCGGAAATGAACCATACCTAGGCTGTCCCCGGATCCCCTGCTAAAGTTTAACTTTTCGCGGGTTAAATTCGGAAACCCCAAGCCCTAGGCCGAAAAAGCTAAGCCGGATGCCTGGGAGCCAAGATACTGGTGACCTTCCTTTGGGGTATCCCTAGGCCTTCCCAGCGCTTCCTTCCCACCCGCTGAAGACTTTTTGCGCGGCCTGCTGCTCGGCCAGGCCCTTTCCCTTCGCCTGAAACATCAAGCAGTTGAGAGCTTCATCCATCCCAAGTTGTGCCGCCGTGGCTTTGGTCCACAGCTGAGGGAAGAAGGGAATGGGTTTTGTCCACAAGGGGAAGAAGATTCAACATGCCCTGAACTCAGGTTGTTTGGCGCCAATTGGCGCAAGCAGCTTGCAAGTGCTCCATTCGAGTTGTGGAAATACTGCGCGTTCTGATGTGTTTTAGAATGCAGTGGCATGTTGTCCAAGAGCATTGGTGCAAATGCAAGGATGGCATGGCGAACCACAATGCTTCAAGTCCGGACCCAGGCGATAGGCCAACCACATTAATAACAAGCGAGTAGTAGTTCAAGCATTTGTTCCAGCTATGTGGTCGCAACCAACTTGAAGACCAAGACCATCTCAAAGAGGGACATGTCACATAACATTACATTACATTACATTACATTACGTGCCTTGGTTACCATATCATGTGCATGTATATACATATATATGTATAGATTATATACACATAACTGTGCCAGATCCAACCAGCTGGCATCGAAGCTGTCACGGTGCGCAGAGCCTTCTGAATACTCAGCGCGGGCTCAGAGACATGCAGATTGTTCAAGCTACCATTCAAGCAGCCAGACCTCATGTGCTAAGATTCGAAAATATTGCTCCTGGGCCTTGGGTGCCACCCATGGCCAGATATACTCGTCAACTGTGTTTGTTACAAGGCCTGAGTCATGATTTAGGCACGTCTCGACGTACAGACGTAAAGCCAGCCATATACACTTAACTTCCCGTGAATAACAAGATGTGCCTGTCTGCTGGCAGGTTTTGGCAGGCATCATATCCACCTCTTCAACCTGCCTGGTTGCTGAATCCGACCAACCCGCTGCTCTCATCATGCCCACCCCTCGGGGACTCTTCCAAAAAGACACGCTTCAGTTTTTTGAACATTGACCAAATTCGACTGAGAAACCGAGCAATTGGTGCATAACCGCCCCAGCGTGCTCCTGAATGCGCCGAAACTGGGCAACCAATCGTTGAGGATTCCCCGCTATTGATTCACTGCCGGATGATCAATCGAATCTGCAACCGCTCCTTTCTCATAACTATGTAGTTTTCACGGCTCTGGCAACCATCAGCGAAAGAAAGATCTCGGGCCGCAAGGGCCCCACTTAAAGGGGCAGGGCACTTAGTAAGTGGGTGCCAACCCTGGTTATAACCCACTTACCAGAGTGGTAAGTCTCCCAAGTGGGAGACTTACCATGGTCGCCCTTAAGTACCCTGCCGTTTAAGCAGGCAAGCCTTTTTCAACCTCGCGTGAAGCGAACGGGCCTGTTCAGAGCTCCCTGCGGACAGCTGTACACACACAGGTGCAAGGCCCTTTTTCCCAGTGAGTCTACACCGTGAGCAGTTGCTTGGAGAACTGCTTCATAGCTTCCTGCAAGGGTTGGGCAGAACTTGCTTGAAAAACCAACCCCTAGAAGGGAAACCAACAAAAGATTGATCCAGCAATTCTTTCAACCAGAGAATAATCCGGCGGGCCATGCTAATCCGGGGAATCCGCCTACCTGGATCTTCCAAGTCATGGATTTTAACATAAAATCCTGAGACTGCCACTTTTGTAAGGGTAGTTTTTGAGGTAACATCCTGGAAATCTCCTGGAAACACTTGAAGCCCCTAGGCATCTCAATTATTCGGTCCTTGGCGGAAGGAGCCCTCCAATTCAGAAATACTCCGAATCAGAATCGTGGACCAGAATCATTCGTTCAGAATTCAGACTTATTCATAATTCGGGAATACTCAGAATTTGCGCCTTTGGGTGACAAATGGTGACAAATTGGCAAATCCAGAACACACCACAACTGAAGCTCAGCGCAAACAAAAGAGCAAAAAAACGCCTGCAAACTCCTGCAAACTCTCGCAAATAAAGACAGAGTTTCCGGAGAGTGCCCCCCCAGTTTGTGATTTTTGCCCATGCCTGTTTCAAGCCACTCCAGCTTTTTGATTCATGCATTTCATACACCTGAAACTCCTAATTTTTTAGAGGGTCTCCTGGAAATACCCCGCAGAACGGAAAAACAGAGAAATATCCCGGAGACGGAGCACCCAGGTATGGTTCAAGTCCCTCTAAACCAGAAAGCTGTGATGAACATGCTCCGGATTGATCTGAAGCTACCACCGGTTAAACCAGAGATGGGCCTGCGAAAAGGGCTCTTCGCCAGGAGGCTTTGCAGGTTTCTTCGCTGCTTCAGCCTAGCGCGCGCTAGCGCGCCCGGTCATTTGTCGTCCCGCGAATTCACACCCTGATGCTATAAACCTTCAGCATGTGGTCTCATTGTGTGAGACCAAACACACAGACACACACACACAAACACAGATGAAACACAGAGAGAGAAACACAGAGAGAGAAACACAGAGAGAGAAACACAGAGAGGGAAACACAGAGAGAGAAACCCAGAGAGAGAAACCCAGAGAGGGAAACACAGAGAGAGAAACACAGAGAGAGAAACCCAGAGAGAGAAACCCAGAGAGAGAAACACAGAGAGAGAAACACAGAGAGAGAAACACAGAGAGAAACACACGGAGAGAAACACACGGAGAGAAACACAGAGAGAGAGAGAGAGCAACACAGAGAGAGAGAGAGCGAAACACAGAGAGAGAGAGAGAGAAACACAGAGAGAGAGAGAAACACAGAGAGAGAGAGAGAAACACAGAGAGAGAGAAACACAGAGAGAGAGAGAGAAACACAGAGAGAGAGAAACACAGAGAGAGAGAGAGAGAAACACAGAGAGAGAGAGAGAGAAACACAGAGGGAGAGAAACACAGAGAGAGAGAGAGAGAGAAACACAGAGAGAGAGAGAGAGAGAAACACAGAGAGAGAGAGAGAAACACAGAGAGAGAAACACAGAAAGAGAAACACAGAGAGAGAGAGAAACACAGAGAGAGAGAGAGAAACACAGAGAGAGAGAAACACAGAGAGAGAGAAACACTCGGAGAGAAACACACGGAGAGAAACACACGGAGAGAACCACACGGAGAGAAACACACGGAGAGAAACACACGGAGAGAAACACAGAGAGAGAGAGAGAGAAACACACGGGGAGAAACACTCGGGGAGAAACACACGGGGAGAAGCACGGAGAGAAACACACGGAGAAACACACGGAGAGAAACACACGGAGAGAAACACACGGAGAGAAACACACGGGGAGAAACACACGGGGAGAAACACACGGGGAGAAACACACAGAGAAACACACAGAGAAACACACAGAGAAACACACAGAGAAACACACACACAGAAACACACACACGCACAGTATGTACATGGATATAATTAAGACTAAGAAAAATAGTATACGCACCGATTTGCGCTATCCACAAATGCATGCATGCATGTTTTTGTGTTTGTGTGTTGCATGCCCAGATGCAAGGAGAGCACCTGGACAGGGTTCTGAAATATTTTCCCCAAGAACGCACATGGCCAGGCAAGGCGTGCTGCTTCTCAGACGTATCTGCTTGCGGGCCGCAGCTCCAACATGTCTTCGGCTTCTGCATGCTGCGAATGATTCAGTGCATCGAAGGGTAAAAGGGTCCCTATGGTGGACAAATCGTGTCTGTGTTGACGGTTGACTGTGCGGCCGGCCACCTTTGTAGTTTTGTTCCTGTCTCTCTCTCGCTCCCTCTCGCTCCCTCTCCCTCCCATCCCGCATGCTTTCCCCGGGCCAAAACGATTTTTGCGCCTTTGCCTTGCGCTCACTCCGCTTCTCCGCCCGCGACTTGGGTCGCCCTTTCTCCGGGTCTTTGGTCCCCTTGGTCACTTTGGGCTCCTCGGCAAGATTTTCTTCGAGCAAGCCCTTCCCAAATCTGAGGTGCACAAACCAAAGAACCTGTTTAATAAGCTCACCCAACTCTCTGATTCTTGAACTGGTTCTCGCACAATGTAAACTCAAGCATCCAAACGATGCTGTTTGCATTTTTTTGGTTCAGGAGTTATCAAAGGCATACGATGGGAAAAAGAAGGAAACTCATGATATGAAAGATTAGTGAGAGAAGAACTTAGGGAGGTTCGCGAAGCAATCCCTGAGAGCCAACGGGACGCTTTTGAGAAGTGATGCCTTCAGCAAAACGGTTGGCCCCGCCTGTGGCTCCTTTTCAGTGGTCGGCTCAGCCGGATCGGGCTCGATGCCTGGTGCATCCGCCTGCGCCGGCTACATACGCGGGCCAGGTGTGAGTAAGGCAGCAAGGTCTGTCTCAAAATGGGGCAGCCCGTGTTGGCTGGTATTAAAACCAACGGGAAACTCACCACCTTGGAGGGGGGTTGCAAGAAAATTTTGAGAAACGCCCAGCAAGGAATGAACGCGCTTTGTGCGTAACACCCTGTGAATGGATAAGATCCTGCAGGGCAATTAAAGTCTGCCTGGGTTTGCCGCCCGTGTCAGGCGCTGATTGAGACTGCGTGCTTGCTCAGTCAACCTTTGGCTTGCGTGTCATCGACAATGCATTCAGACCCCAAAAGGAAAATCACTCTGCCCCAAATTTGATGCTGGACACTGCCCAAAGCCTCGGTTTTGTTGTTGGCCCTCTCAAGCCCAAGTAGGCAAGTAGGTCCTCCAGACAAGAGATTAGAAGAAGGGTACCCTGTTTTCTGTAGTCTATGTTAGTAGGGGAAGCCTCCCCCAAAAAAGGGTATTTAGTAAAAGGGCCCTACTGGGGGACCAAGCCAAGGGCGCCTGGGCGAATTCCGCCAGCAGTTGCTCCACCGCCGCGTTCACATCCTCCCGACATTTCAGCAGGGCACTGCGGAGCGCCTCCTCGCTGAAGCCGTGCTCCGGCGGCAAACTGTGCCGCAGCTCCTAGCAAAGCCAAGCCGCAGACATGCAAGCGGCAACTGTGAAGACACAACAAAATGGAACCTGCCAAAGCACGCAGCAAATATAGACTTGTTCACCCCCCATGCAAGCAGAAAGTTCAGTAGCTGGAGTGGCGAAGGATAACCAGGGCCACACCTACATGCAAGCAGCGAAATATAACCTCTTTGCCGGCTTGCTGGCACTCTGCAAGGCTCCTCGAGCAAGCTCTTCATCTTCTCCTCCGACTGACCCTTCATCTGCCGCAGGGAGAGGTGTGTCACAGGTGCCTCCGTCATGTCCCAAGCAAACCTCAGCTCGCGAATAGCTCAGTGCCTTCGCCTGCGACTTCCAAACAGGCCTCAGCGGTCGGAACCAAAAATAAACGAGATATGACGAGATGTTCGTTTACACAAAGTCAGCATCCCCGCTGTGCGGTTGCCAAGACAAGAGGCCGCACACTGTTGTAGTGCTCCCCATCGTGGTAGGAAAGCTGCAAGCACTTGCTATCATCAGGGCTGAACACCATCTCATACGAGGGCAGGCCAAGCTGGTGCACAATGACATTCCTTGGCACGCGAAGGCATGGCCATGCTGCGGGGCAGAGCAGTCCCGCTCCGCCTGGCTGTTTGCCATCCTAGCTGATCATGAAAGGTGTTTCGTATAAAATGACACGCCACCACAGTAGAGCCTGACTTGAGCATGTGGTCGCAATTTCTTTGAAGAGGACCACGGCGCAAAGAGCAGTCACTCAACATTCCTCACAGCATTGAGCTGCCGACAAGACCGCCTAAGCATCGCTTGGAACCAAAGGTCCCAGATTCCGGAGCACTTTGACTCCTTTCTGGCCCGGAAGCACGTAAGGCACCAAGGGATTCTCTGGGTTGGCCACTGGAAAACACAAGCCGCGCCCACAAGCCCGCGTAGTTGAATATGATTACGTGAGCCAAGGGTTGCCAACCAAACTTTGTACAAACGAACAAGCGGGGATACGGAGGGAGCGGGGATATGGGGGGATTCCAACTTGGCGCCATTTCCCATATCAAACTTGGTCAAGGTGCATCAAACGGGGGAATCCTCCCGTATCCAACTGGTTCCCCCTGTATCCCTGCTAGTTGGTTCCCTGAAAAATGGGTCGTAGGCAAAAAGTTTGGCACCTTCACACCTCCTCCTTCCGATCCTTTTCTGCGCCGCGGCGCACGGCGAACTCCCGGCAAATGGCCATGAGCTCCAGCTGCGAACCCCAATTGCCGGGGCTCCGCATCTTTTCCACGTAGGCCTGAAAGAACCCCCGCGCAAGAGAGACCTGAATCGGGGAACACCACGTCACATAGGCCTGAAAGGGGGAAAAAACCCGTGCAAGAGTCACCTGGGTCTGAGAAAAAAACAAGGGACCCCAGATTTTGGTGGCTTGGAACTGGAAACTTGAAGCCCTGGTTCTTGTAGAGGGAAAAAGGGGAACCACCCCTAACCTTCAAAGCGCTCATCCTAACCACGAATTAGAGGGAGGCTGATAAAATAAGGGACCCCCCCCAAAATAGATGGTGGTTGCTTCGTTTCCCTTTCAATTAACCTAAACAAAGGTACACTCAAAAACACACATCCTGAGGAGCTGTACAACTTTGATATACTTTGAAGAATGACCTCGCGCACAAAACCGAAGATGATGCATGCTTCATCAAACTTTCAAACTTGGGCACGAAGTGGCCAGGAAGGCAGCAATGCCTGCCACCTGGTACTAAAAGAAACGCCTGAAGGGAGTGGCATCAAAGTAGAGCGGCCAAAAGCCACCGACCCTGCTTTCAAGGCCTGGATTGACGGGGCTTTGCAATCTAACCAGAAGGGAACCGCCCACTTGGGACGTTAAGAACCTGTTGGGTCTCTCCAGCAGCCCACTCTGATTCCCGGCCTCAAAGGAGAGGTCTGCCTCAAAGTCGTCGGAGGCGTAGAAGAGGCTGAACCTAGCTCTGCCAGGCACCAATCCAACCGTCCGATTCGAGCTACAAACCAGAAGTCCGAAAGGACCATCTTTGAGCCCGAGCCGCTCGCTATCCCAGGACCACGGCACCGGCTAAGCCACCGAGACAGGCTCACGGCACTTGAGTGAGAGCCAGTTCGGAAACATTGGCTCGAAATTGTAATTAATTAATTAACTTGTAATTAATCAACTACCGGACATGCGGCAGGCTCAGCACGCGGCAGGCTCGACACGCTCTTACACGCGGCAGGCTCAACAGCTTGTGGCTTGACGAAAGGAGTTGGTTGCCAACAAGTACGCAGAAACACCAATAGAGCCACCCTGAGTCACGTGCTGCAAGAGCGTGCTTCAAATATTGATGCCCGAGAGAATGGCCCCGAGTCGATTTCAAGTCCCAAAGCCAACTCTTGAAGCCCCGGATAGAATTCATACAAGGCGCAACAAGCCGGTGTGCATTCAATTGCCCAAAGCAGCACTAGGATACATCCCAAGCCATTCCTGTCTTTGAGCCATGGTCCACGCGTGGAGAAATCGGCCAAGAGGCTCCTCGGCATTCTCTAGCATGTGCTTACAGCAGCGCTCCCGGAACTCATTGTGCTCTTCGGCACTCCCTGCCAGCTGGTCTGCCACTGCACGGAAAAGGCAGTTCCTCGGATTCTTCCGCAATGAAACTGCAGGGGGCCGCGTGCTCGAAAGAAGACAAAATCACACAGTGGATGCGTTCAGAACCATACTTGTACGGCATGTCAAGCCATAATCATAAAATATGGGTGTGGGGTTTGGTGGTTTGGATTGGTGGTCAAGAAAGGGTTTCCACATTATTTAGTTCGAAGTGTAGAGCATCTCAGAAAAACCAGGCTGTCCACCTTACAAACAAGCTGGTAAGATCAAAGCGTGTGCTCTAATAGGCAGGTCAGAACCGATGACACCTGGGAATCCAAACATCCAGACCCGGATTTGGTCGGCTCATGCTGGGACGCCCATCCGCAGCCATCTGCACCACTTTCAGGCCAACCGGCGCGAGCTGTGCCACCAAATCCCGGTAGTCCTCTGCCCGGTATCCTCCACCTCGGGCTCAGGGGCTCAGGCTCAGTGACTGAACATCGGGAGCTCGGAAGTCGACAGTTTCCTTTAAAAGCCCGTTGTCAGCATAGAATTGACGTATCGGCGCCTATCACGTTTCCAATACGCTCAGTACTTCAAGCGTTGGGTGTTTACAACCCCCCACGCCGCCAATTGCCGTTGCCAGTGGTTTGAAGGAGCGCGAGTGATGTGCATGCACGTCATAATGCCGAAACTCTTCCCCAAGCCGGGCGACAATCTCCAACACCTTTGAAGCCATTGGCAAGGGCCAGCAAGTAAGTCGTTTCGCCCACCCCAAGGCTAACCAAACATCGCATGAGAACTGGCAAGCGCATTTCCAACTACAATCACAGTCATCCTCTGCCAGGGCAGCCGACGACAAGGTCCCTACCTTGGCTCTGCTAAGAACAGTGGCCGGGTGGCCATCCCCACGCCATGCTTAGCGACTCTTTGGCCCACCCCCTTTCAGCCAAGGAGCGCCCCTTGCGTCGGTTCAGCTTGGGCGTTTCGCGCGGCGCAGCTTTGGGCTTGGCGCGCTTGCCCATGGCTCACGGGGGGATGCGGAGGTTTGTTGACAGCCTCGACTTAAGCGCAAATGCAGGTGGCAAGAAGATGTGTGCTAAAAAGTCCTAAAGGTCGCAAGATGTCGCAAGGTGCCAATCGACTCAAATTTCAGGCGGCCCCTGCATGGCGCAGTCTTGCCCATCAATCACTCTTCGGATGCCTCCAGCTATGCAACTCCGAGAGGCCTGGATCGATGCTTGCTCAAGCTTCTGACCCAGGGTTGACATCGTGGATGCCATCTTGTGGCATGGACTGAGGCATGCAAAGGCCGTGTTCTGGGCGTTGCCTGTGGGAGCCACGAAGAGTCGACAACTCGCCTCAAGGCATCGCACAACCACCCCACCCCTGCCAACGAGCATGCCGCGAACGCGAGCCTCCGCAGCCTTTGACCTCGGCATGGGCTCGCTATAGCGACCAACCGAACCCTTTACGGCAAATCGGCCACCGCATGTCCTCGCTCTGGCACATGACGTCTGGGGCTTCCTAACATCCAAGACTTCAGCAGCTGTGGCCGAGCCCTGGATGATCAGAGCATGCTGAACAGGCAAAGTCACTTTGGACCAGTGGGATGTCCCCGAAAAACTGCCCAGCGGCATGAGGCCACTTTGGCCCTGCCAGCCCTCCAAAATACAAGACACACACCAAGAGCAAGCACCAGACAAGTTGCGAGTGCTAGGACAAGCTCGTGCAAAAGGGGTTCAAAAGGACATCCTTTCGAGCAGTTGGGTTTCATGCACGTCTCCAGAACCGAGCTTTCATTGCCGGCTAGCCATTGCCGCGTCAAGCGCTCCATGCTCATGGAGTTCACCTCAACGCTCCAAAAGCCTGAGCGGAAAAAGATCCAAGTCAGAACACCTCACTAATGTTAACTCCGGAGTAATAAACCCCCGGTTGATGTATAGGGGGGTGTGGGGATTCATCACTTTTGGAGGGAACACCCCCCTAACAATGGGACGGGTTTACTAATCCGGGGTCAACATTATCTTTTCCACGCAGGAAAGTAGGCATGGCGTCCATGCGGAAGCAAAAAAAAACGGTGATCCATCCGGCCAAATCGGTCGCTTCCTTTGGTTTTCTGAGAGACCGCTCTATGGTTTTTCATCGGCACGAGGAACGCCACCATTTTGGGGAGCTAAAAAAGAAGACTCGCCCATTTCGGGCGTCAAAACAAGTCAGAAAAGGAACCTTCGCCTGTCCACACCCTGCCCACCCTGTCTCAAAGCTCTGAACTTTCAAAAAAGGAGTGAACCTGCACAAAATCATGGTTCTCTGATTCTTGCCACCCCATTTTACCCCCCAAAAACAACGCGCCTTCTCATGTTTCGCAAGCTCCCTCGAACATCAACTGCCAGAAATTGAGGCCCCAGTTGCGACCCTCCAAACGCCCCCTGTCCGCATTTTGGCGCTGAAAACAGGAACCCTTACATTATACACCCGAACATTGCCTTGTAAATGGTGGTTTCACTTTGTTTGGGTGGAAAAGGCCATGTTTCAAAGGGGCAAAATGTATCTTTAAGCAGCCCTGGCAAACCAACGCCGTTTGCGCCGTTACCACCGAAGCGCCGTGGCTTTCCGCCAGGCAGTGGCCCCTGCAGGCCCCGGAGAAGACCACGGAGCTCTCGGAAGGCGCGGCGCTCAGCGACTGGCGCAGCGCTGTGCGCAGGCGCAGCGCCTGGGCTCAATCCCAGGGCCCTCAAATAGATCCCCCCCATCCCAATCGGAGCGAATAGCAAAGCTCTTCGGCCTAGGGGCCAACAAAAAGCCCCGGTGGCAATCGTAAGATGGCACAATTGCTGGAGTTACTGGAGCATGTGGGAAATTAGGGGGATGACTCATATGTAGGCATGGCGCTGCCTACCTTCACCCAAGGTTATATCAACGTCGATTTCTACATACGCAATTTCTAGAACCCTGGAATACAACTACCATGCTTGCATAACACTAGCAGTGGTGAAGCTTGCATGTTGTATGTTGTCTTTCCGATACAGTCTGATGAACTTGTTGGGCTTTAGCACCTCATTTCAGTCAATGTGGGCGTCCAAGTCCGCACGCAGTGCGCATATCTATATACCCCAAATTGCGTTGATAGGAGAATCGTGCTTCACGTGCGAAATCTCACATCAAAGCCTTCTGCAGGCATTCTGTTAGCACCACTAGACGCATGACGGCCAGAAGAACCCTGGGTTACATGGCTGTGGGTAAAAATCCAAATCGTACCCCCAGTGAACATCCCAATCCCAACTAAGAAAAAACAAAATGGGTGGTGCACCTACCCAAAAATGGGATCCCTTCAGTTTGACCAAGCCACATCGGATTTTGTGGGGCTCCCTGGCGTGTCTCCGTTTCTTCCCCGTGCGGGCGATTGAACGGCGCGCCTCTTGCCAGTCAGCGAAGCTCCATGAGAAGGCAGGGGAAGAGATCCCAAGGCGGCCCAGCAGAAAGTGGTCGAACTGCTCCTAAGGCGTTGGCTTCTCATAGAAGCAGCTTGAGGAACCCGAAATTCAGTCTTATTTGCAGTTTTTTCTCCTTCTGGTATTTACAACGCAGCTTGCAAAAAGCCACAGCCTGATTTGTACTTGTGGGATCCAGTTGGGCCCTTAAACCATTCAGAGTGGGGTGGCACTCATGGGGATGTAGCAAGGCTTCTCATCCCTTGCGCCTTGGCTCTCTTGCCAAGTGTTTGATGAGAACCGCCTGAGGGAGTGCAACCCCAACCAGTTGCAGCTGTGTGGACACGGGTGGTGCAGTGAAGATCCTGCAATGGCAAATCAGCTTCCGTCCAATTGATTGGAGCCCGGTGGTTTGGTGGTTAAGGAGGGGTTGCCCATTTACCCGCTGCAAGAAGCAGCGGTTCTACGCGGTACCTGAGTAAAGGCATCCTAATTGTTGCAAGCGCGAGGGGGTTTAGGCACCCCTGTAAATGGTCTACACCAACTCATTTTCCCTACGACCATGGCCAAGAATCAGAAGGTATCACGTTTCCACCTATTGACGGTCCCTACCCTTCTACCTGGGTTCCCGGATGTCCCCGGTAGCTCGGCCCCCATTCAACCCCCTTCTCCTCGTGCACCAGGAAGGGCGTCCGGACATGGGGAGCCCAAGTTGGCCCGTAGAGGCACCGCCACGGGTCTGACGCGAGAGACATGTCCCATGGGAAATCTGGGAGTTCCGGTGCCACAAGCTGCCCGAACCCTAGGGGATACATTCCGAAAATCAGATCAAGGCGGTTTTTTTGTCACTGGCCTGGATCCTGGCAAATAGTGGTTTGTAGGAAACTTGACTCTCTTATTCAAATTCAGTCCCATCACCTCATATACGGAGTCGCAGCGCCTTCTCGTTTATGTTAGGGGTACCTCACCCCATCCAGTTCGGGCCCCCCCAGGCCCTACACAACAGCAGCAAAACAAACGGACAATACTTGGTTGACGTTGGAAAGGAAGCAAAAACTCAATTCTTAGCAGTTAAGTGGGGATTTCCCACCAATAAGCAAAAATGCAAAAGGTTTCCCAACAACAACCATGAATACTCGTCATGCCGGAAAGGAGGCAAGGCAGCACGGGAAAGCGTGGGCACAGATGTGCTATTTTGGTGATCTTTTGCGGACGACGCCTATATATATGCTTCTCCTACTAAATTGGAACACCCTGCTAGCAAATGGAGGTAGCGTGTGCTTGTGCTTAGGGGGGTCCCTTGCTTTCATCATTGTGGCTGCTGGACTGACTGCTTGCATTTCACCCAAGTGTGCTTTCTACGAGGAATTCTAAGGGCCCAAGCATTGGGTTCCACAAATCATTGGACAACAAAAGGAACAAGCTGGCGTGAACAAAGAAAGGAAGGAATGAATCAAGGAAGGAAAGGATAAAGGCAAATGAAAGGAGGATCAAACAGCCTTAGCAAACAGGCATGTCCTGTCAACCGCTTCCCCCTGAAACACCTGTTGCAGCCAATTAAGGTCACTGGCTTGGAGCACACGGGGTGCATTTTGCCCAAAAGGGAAGCCAAAAGGAAACCACTCAATTTGAGGGCGCTGAAGCGACCGCAGACCTGGTGCAGTCGCTGTGCAGGGGTTCTCCTCGCCCCAGAGCTGCCAACCGTTCTTGGCAGACGCATCCAAGACTCCTCCATCCGGCACCCACCAGGCGGCATCGAGCAATCCCCGGCACACGGTGGAGGCATTCGGCAGGGAAGAGCAAACTGAATCCTTGGCGGTAAAGGAAGCTGCGTTCAAAGTAGAACCACCCTTCATCCAACCACTGCTGTTGATACTCGCCTATGACAAAAGAGGAAGCCGATGGGAAGTTAGATGCCACCGTTCCCTGGGAGGAAAACAAAAACCAAGGGAGAACCAACGGAAAACACAGGTTTTTACAAGAACCCACCCCCCCCCAAACAAAATTAAAGGACCGGATAACCCCACATGCGCATTTTTTCAGTGAATGGTTCTCTGGTCGCCATGCGATAATGACTGAGTGAGTGAGTGAGTGGCCACGGGGTAGCGCTCGGTCACTAGTAGAGTGCTCTCTTCTTTTCGCTCGCGAGGCAGAGTCAGGCTCTAGATTATTCACGGCTTCCTCTTCTTCAGACAGCTGGAAGTCTAATAAGCCTGAGCTCGAGCTCTAATAAGCCTGAGCTGGAAGTCTATAAGCCTGAGTGAGAGTGAGTGAGTGCGAATGAGTGCAAGTGAGTCTGGACGAAAGTGCTGCGCCTGTCCCGCAGATTGAGCCCCCGAGCCGCGCACTCGACAACATCCAGCCTCTCTAAACAGCAGCCATATGTTGCCCCTGCCACGCAAACACACACCCAGATGCAGAAAATACTGCGCCTGCCACGAAATCTGTGCGCCATCTCCAAAGTGCTGCGCCCCCGAGCCGCGCGCTCGAAGACATCCAGTCCCTTTAGACAGCTACCAAATGCTGCCCCTGCCACGCAAACACACCTCCAGATGCAGAAAATACTGCGCCTGCCACGAAATCTGTGCGCCATCTCCAAAGTGCTGCGCCTGTCACGCAGATTGAGCCCCCGAGCCGCGCGCTCGACAACATCCAGTCCCTTTAGACACCTACCAAATGCTGCCCCTGCCACGCAAACACACACCCAGATGCAGAAAATACTGCGCCTGCCACAAAATTTGCAAGCCATCTCCAAACTGCTGCGCCTGTCACGCAGATTGAGCCCCCGAGCCGCGCGCTCGACAACATCCAGTCCTTTTAGACACCTACCAAAAGTTGCCCCTGCCACGCAAACACACACCCAGATGCAGAAAATACTGCGCCTGCCACGAAATCTGTGCGCCATCTCCAAAGTGCTGCGCCTGTCACGCAGGTTTAGCCCCCGAGCCGCGCGCTCGACAACATCCAGTCCCTTTAGACACCTACCAAATGCTGCCCCTGCCACGCAAACACACACCCAGATGCAGAAAATACTGCGCCTGCCAAATCTTGCGCCATCTCCAAAGTGCTGCGCCTGTCACGCAGATTGAGCCCCCGAGCCGCGCGCTCGAAGACATCCAGTCCCTTTAGACAGCTACCAAATGCTGCCCCTGCCACGCAAACACACACCCAGATGCAGAAAAAACTGCGCCTGCCACGAAATTGCGCCATCTCCAAAGTGCTGCGCCTGTCACGCAGATTGAGCCCCCGAGCCGCGCGCTCGACAACATCCAGTCCCTTTAGACACCTACCAAATGCTGCCCCTGCCACGCAAACACACACCCAGATGCAGAAAATACTGCGCCTGCCACGAAACTTGCAAGCCATCTCCAAACTGCTGCGCCTGTCACGCAGATTGAAATGCTGCCCCTGCCACGCGAACACACACCCAGATGCAGAAAAAACTGCGCCTGCCACGAAATCTGGGCGCCATCTCCAAAGCGCTGCGCCTGTCACGCAGATTGAGCCCCCGAGCCGCGCGCTCGACAACATCCAGTCCCTTCAAACAGCAACCAAATGCTGCCCCTGCCACGCAAACACACACCCAGATGCAGAAAATACTGCGCCTGCCACGAAATCTGTACGCCATCTCCAAAGTGCTGCGCCTGTCACGCAGATTGAGCCCCCGAGCCGCGCGCTCGACAACATCCAGTCCCTTTAGACAGCTGCCAGATGCTGCCCCTGCCACGCAAACACACACCCAGATGCAGAAAATACGGCGCCTGCCACGAAACTTGCAAGCCATCTCCAAAGTGCTGCGCCTGTCACGCAGATTGAGCCCCCGAGCCGTGTGCTCGACAACATCCAGTCCCTTTAGACACCACCCAGATGCAGAAAATACTGCGCCTGCCACGAAATCTGTGCGCCATCTCCAAAGTGCTGCGCCTGTCACGCAGATTCAGCCCCCGAGCCGCGCGCTCGAAGACATCCAGTCCCTTTAGACAGCAACCAAATGCTGCCCCTGCCACGCAAATCTCCCAAATGCTGCCCCTGTGAGTGAGTGAGTGTGAGTGAGTGTGAGTGAGTGAGTGTGTGTGAGTGAGTGTGTGTGAGTGAGTGAGTGAGTGAGTGTGTGTGACTGAGTGTGTGTGAGTCAGTGTGTGTGAGTGAGTGTGTGTGAGTGAGTGACTTTGTGCGGGTGAGTGAGTGAGTGTGTGTGAGTGAGAGTGTGTGAGTGAGTGTGAGACAGTGAGTGTGAGTGAGTGGGCGGCGGGGGCGGGTGGCGGACGGCGGGGCCGGACGGCGGACGGCGGGCGGCGGGCGCGGAGCGGTAGAAGTAAGAACCCCACACAAAGATGTGGGGAAAAAAAGAAGGAACCTGAACACATGGGAGAATTGTGCCATTTCAACGGGCTGCGAGGTTGTAGAAGGCGCCGCGCCCCCCTGCAGAACAGCCCCCGAAGACCAGCAGCCGGGCGCTGTTGAGGCCGAAGGTTTCAGCCAGTTGGCGCATGACCGCCGAAATGATGCGCCGGCCCTGGAAGTAGTAGCCGAAGACTGGCTCATCTCGGTCCCCAAGCCAGGAGTCTGAGCTGCAGTAGGGGATGAAGACCCGCGTGGAGTGGGCGAACGCGGGGTTCAGCTTGGAGTCTGAAAAGATGCCATCCAACTCCCTGACCGCTTCTAGCTTGGAAGAGCTCATACGATAGTCTTCGGCAAATCGCTGGTCGCACTCCTCCTTGGTACCGCAATGTCCGCCACCCTCCAACCACACAAGAAAAACATCGGAGCCCTCTCGAATGTAGAAGCCAGGAAGGGACCCATCGTTGCACCGTGGCCCACCGCGAAGATGATGCAGCTGGAAGGTTGCCATAGCGCCACGGTGAGTGAGAGGCTACAGGACCCCGGGCTTTGGCCCATTGCCCAACAAGTCTAAATGAGAAATCACATTCTGTCCGAGAAGCTGAAGCTAAACGTTTCAACGGCCAAGCAAATAGAAGACAAGGATTGGAGCTTCACCAAACATCGGTGGACATCGGGGGAAAAACAACAGCAGCAAGTTTCTGTGGACACCTGGCTCAGAATGAACCCACACCTCACAGCCATAGAATTGCCAAACTTCATGCTGTGGCTTATGTGGCTGCAGTTGGAGGAGCATGCTGTGGCACAAACCCACTCAGGCCACCATCTTGAAGTTATTTTGAGCCACCATGCGTGCACTGCAATGGCCCAGAATGGGGGTTCGACACATTCATCTTCGCAAGGAATGCTGGGGCAGGCATGTCATGCCCCAATGGACGCACAGGGGCATCACTTTGATCTGCAATCTTACCTGAATCGCTTCCGCCAAAAAAGCGATGAACAAAGCACAGGCCCAACCACACCTCAAACGCCTTCGATCGGGCTCCACTTGCCCATCCGCAAGCTGGTCGTGGGGCCCCGGGCCCAGAGCCGAGATCGCCTTCAAATCCGAGATCAGCGAGCTTCACTTGACCAGTCCTCGACGACCACCCGAAGGTCGACGCGGAAAGATCTGGCTATGCCCTACGGGCCGTCCCCTATGGATGCAAGAGCTTCAAGAAGCTGACGATACCAACCCCGGGAACAGACCTGAAGTGGGATTCACCGAGCCTGCACGTTCTGAGAGCGCAGAGTTCAATGTCAATCTGAGAAACACGTCCCCTCAAAGCACCCGCCATAGCAATGCTGTGTGTCACAACCAAGGTCAGTCTCATCATGGTCCCCCAAGGAAGGGGGCGCTTGCGAGCTACGAGCTCTGCGCTCCTGTCGAAGACCACGCTGGAAAGCTTCAGGTTCAAATGCGGGCTGCCCAGCATGGAGCTGCGCCTCGGTGTGTCCACTGATGGCAGGTGCAAGCTGCAAGCGGCCAACGTGGGCAGATCGGATCAGTCCGTGGGCTTAAACCCAAGGCATTCCAAGATGTGGCAAACTCTATGGCTCTAAAGCAAAAAAGAAAAAAAGCGCAACGAGCGGCCTCAAGTGAGACAAACCTAGCATAGGACGCTGACACATGGGAGTGCCGCTTTTTGTTTCTTCCGATGACATCCCTCTTGTGGGTAGCCAGGGCCAATTTGCAGGTTTCACTGCTCCATTTCGAGGCAGGGATTTTTTCAGGATGCCCTGGCATGGGGGTCCTACTACTTTTGACACCCCATGGATCACCCAATCAAAAGGGCAAAGGCCATCAGGGCCCCGCAGATGGCTGGCGGCGCTGGCCACCGCTGCCGCTAGTCTCAGCCGATCAGCCTCAGTTGTTATAGCTGAAAAACCCGTAGTGACAACCCCCAAACATGGGGGGGGGGGGTTGATTCACAGCTGGTGACCTTGCTGGCCTTTTTTGCGGTTCCCTTGAACATCACCGCAGCAAAAGGGTGGCCTTTCTGTTGGCTTCCATGGCTTCCCTTCAAGAACCACCGGCAAAAGGCTACTGTCACACGATTGCTGTATTCTTCAAAATGCAAGCGGTAGTGGGACACCACAGGGCACACCACCCAATCCATCCGGCAAACAATTGAACAGTCAATTTTGAACAACCCAATTTAGCTGAAAATGGACCCTTCGGGCGAGCGAGAGCTCAGACCCCGTGGTGGGATAGCATGGGGATGTACGTCCCAGATCCATCTTTCACGCGGAATATTGAAATTGGGGTTAAGATGTTGGCAACCTAGGCTATGCCTCACTTCTAGGTTCCCAGAACTGGAGTTGACCTTGTCATTTGTGGGTTCTAACCCACGTGGCTAACCACTAAGTGGCACTTGGCCGCTCTGGCCTCTCGGCCAACGTGCCAAGCCAAGGTCACAAACTCCCGAGCGCCCCGGCCCAAAGAAAGGGCTTGCCACCCTTGCGGGAAGCGGCCAGCCTGCGAGCAGCCGGCCATGAGAAGACTCGCGCGCCAGGCTTCTCTCTCTCCGGTCTGAGACTTCAGGAGCGACAACTTGCCACGGCAGGCCTTGCCTGTTCTTCCATCACCCTATAACCTAAATGCACGAAAGAGGGCATCAAATTCAAAGTTCCATGAAGGCCATGAAATTTGACCTCAGCGCCTCTGCTCCGCATTGACAGGGTCCAGCATGTCATACACGACCTCATTCCAATGGCGCGTTCGTCTTTCCCTGTCCGATTGCGCACTCAAACATGCACATGTGCAACTACCGGCCCAGTGAAGATCTCTGAGGCCAATTCAATCGTTGTAAAGCCTCAGAGTACCTGCTGGCGCTGCTTTCCGTCCAAGGCTTGGACGAAGCATTGCGAGTCGGAGCAGCTCCAGCCTGGGAAACTCCGACACCCTCCGACACGTGCCGAGTGCGGTTTATCGAGGGTGCGCTTGCAAATAGCTTAAGGCTTCTCCTGGCGCGTGCATTGCCCAGGTTCTGGGTGCTCATGGGCAGAGCTCGCAGAACAGGCGGATTGATGCAGCCAGCACAAACGAGCCGCGTGCGTCTTTTGCCCCCTTTAGAGGTCCCCTCTGTGTGAGACTCGCGCCATCCCGCGCGGGTTTTTTGCGCAGGTTCGCGCCATTCGCGCCGCTTCTTTGTAAGCAGGTTCGAAAGGTGGCTGGTTTGGGCGAAGCTTCCAATGGACGAGTGTCCGCAGCGAATCACAGGGCCACATCACTCACCTAAACACATAGTCTTTAGTAGATTCGGAAAGTTCGCCCAAGCCTAAGGCGGCAGGCCATACTCAACCTCATCAGTAGGCACACGCCGCAAAAGAGGGGGCGGAGGTGCCATAGGCGTGCGCACCTTTGGCTTAGCTTTGACCTCCGGTTTTCGTTTGAAGCAGCCAGCTGCTTTCAACTCTTCCATGATCTTCTGGTTGGCCTGCTGCGCGCTGCACAGCTCCTTTCGCCGCTCGTCCACCTTTCGAATTTAAGGGTTGCAAAACAGGTGCGAGGTTGCGTCGGCAGCAAACAGCAAGAGTGTGCCAGGCGCGTGTGTGCCCCACCTGGCAGTATTTAGGGCGGATGTCCTTGCCAATGCGCTAGGTTTGAACAGATCGTCTGGGCTCTCCAAAAGGCCAAATGTTCGGCTTCGGGCTCGACAGCGAGGAAGGAACCAAACGAAACACCCCAGGTTTTGGCATGGTCAAAACCCAGGCCACGGCCACGTTCCCAGAACTCTTGCAGTTCTCAAATTGTCGTTGCGATTGATGACGCTGTCGGCACAACCCTGGAGGAAAGGCTTAAAGGGGCAAGCCGGCAAACTTGTCAAAAGCAGAGCTGACACTCACTGCGTTGGCCGCGTGGAGGTCGGATTCACTGCAATCTCCCGCAGAAACTACCAAATACATTCACTGCAGCTACCTTGGGCTTGCCGTCATGCGTCTGCCCCGCATTGACGCCCAAACGTTGGAGTGCTGCCTTGACTCCCCCCACCCTTTCGCAGGGCTCGGAAAAGAAAAATATGGTTCCTAGGGTCCCCTAACCCCCAGATCAAAATATCGTCAGCCGACCCTCCAGCCGTCCGGAAACCTATCTGAGACGCCAAAGCTGATACAAGTAGCTGCAGAAAAATAAGAAAACAGAAAATACAAAGAGAGAAAACAACAACAAAACAAGACAACACACAAAAACAACGGGGATTCGTGGAACCTGACAACGCGGTTCACCGGAAAATGATCCGAACCGGGGAAGTCCCAATCAAGGTTCATGTGCGCCATGGTCAACACTCCCAAAAATTTAGGTCAGGGTCATGGTTCCCTTCGTGCAAACACTTACAAGGCTTGCCTGAAATTCCAGTAAAAGGGCTCATGACTATAAGCTCTTCGATAGTTCTAAAAACAAGTAAAGGTTTCGACCCAACTCCCAGTAACCCGGGCTGGAGGAATATACCCGTCGACCCCTGCCTGCGCGCGAAAGAGCTCCCGCCGGCGGCTGGCCGCCTGCTCCTCTTGCCGCAGCACCGCCTTGTTTGGTCGGGGGCAGCGGGTTCGAGGGTAGGAGCAAGGGGTTTAAACGTGGGGGAAGCGTTTCCAAATACAAAAGCAAATCGGATCAAACGGTGCGTGTCTCAATACAGAAATGCTGTTCTCAACCTTAGGATAGGCTTGAAGCAGAATGTCAGCGCACGATTAGCGACCCCCCCCCCCAAATTCAATTTTCCCGTTTTCCCTTCCAGAACTGATTAAAGGTACCCTCCCTGCAGCCCCCAAGCGAACAAAACCTGCCAGAACAGGGGTTCCCTTGTTGCTTGGCACTTGCTTGGTCTGTGCTTAAACCCGTCACTAGAACCCTCAAGTTTTCCCCCCAAAATGAGCTTCCCCCAAAATGCATCCTTCCTGGGATATATATTTTTTAAACTGACAAGTAAGAAACCCCCCTTGCAGGCCAGGCTCCCACTTCCTTACAGGAACCCCCCCGCAAAAAAAAAAATAACGGCCCTTTTGGACTCAACACCAAACAAACTGATGTGCTCACGTTTTGGGGGCGCACGGATTGTATGCATCCGCTGTGCTTCGAGGCCTCTTGTAAGGCTCTACTAGCTCTACTAGCGCGACGACCTCACCAAAGGTTGCTTGGGCGATCCCTTGTAGCTTGCTGCGAGGTGTCATTCACGGATGCGGGGTTCAATTCTCATCTCATATTTTAAAACCACCGCGTGTTTGCACAATCCAAAGCCCAGAGAGCATTTAGACACCGCCGAGGAAATCCGGAAATACACAAAGCCACTGGGGGAGGAGTGAGGTGGGGGTTACCAACAGCGGCGCAATGTTTATGTTTCTTCCCAGCGATCGAACATTGGATCAGTTTCAGCACATGTTCAGCTCTTGCCAGGGATCAATTCAGCAAGGTTGGAAGTGGTGTTTGGCCTGCGTTCAACTCTTAATCAGATTGCACCGATATGGCCATGGGTCAAAAGCCCGTACCCCCAGTGAACATCCCAATCCCCACTAAAATAGGTTCTAAAATGGGTGGTGCACCTGCCCCAAGATGGTACCCATTGGTGTTGACCCACAGCCATATACTCGTATAGCTTGACCGATCGGAGCTCCGACCGCCCGGCCTGCTCGGATAAGAGCTCTCCCCGGAGCTGCGACACGCGGCTGCTGGTTGCTTGCACGTCCTGGCGGCATTCCTCCGCGCGGCCCTCCGCGTGAAGCATCTCCTCGGAGTCAAAAGGCAGGGGTGTGTGTCAACGGGATTTGGACCCCCCCCCCCCCCCCCCCCCCGAAAAATGAGTCGTAGCTTTTCCTGTACCACCAAAAAAACTGGGCTAGTGTCAAAAAAAGGGCCTTCAACAAAAACTGGGCTTTGTCAAAAGAGGGGGGCTTTCACAAAGGGCGCTGTTGGAGGTTCTAGTTGGGAAATGGGCCTGGTCTCAAGGGGGTGTCTTTTTTAGAGGACCCCTTTATGTTTTCCTTTGCCACGAAAGAATAGGTACCCAAAAAAGGCACAATGTGGTTGGAGGCCCCATTTTGAAACGCAATGTACCCTGGGTTGCTTTGGGAAACCAAAGGTTGAATCCAACTCCATAAAATGTTTGTACAATTGGCACCGGGGATGAAAAAAGGAATGCGGAAAAGACCCTGAAAAATGCACCCTGCAAGAAATAGTTCGGATGCGGCTTGTTTGCATCCATGAGTGTAGGATGCTAAACAAATACGTACTACAAAGGGACCAACAGGCAGAAGAAGCCGTGGAATCAACAGCAAGCGCATCCAAGCCGTTCTCTAGATGAATGCCCCGACAAGTTCACTACAACAAAGTGATGGGGCACTGCGAAGAAAGGAAACATCCAGAAGATGATCACTTGTGATATTGACCACCGCTCACCGCATGTGCGTCTCAAAATCGGGGAATGCTCCCAATGAGTGTCGCCTCTGACGTTTGATTGGAACAAGCCGAAAAAAGGCAGCAACTCCAAAAGGGCACACACGAACACGCCAATACAGACCTATTCGACTCGGACAATGCAAAATGTCCCTCCAGGAATTATTGGTATTTTTGCGCTTGCCGAATGGATAAAACCAACATGCGGAAGAGAGGCACTGATCTGTTTGCATGCCCATCTCACACGTGACGACACGTCCGAAACCAAGGAAACAGCTGGCCGCGCACATATGAACATCTTCCTGTCCGGTGCCCGTCTGGCCGATGTGAAACAGCTGCCCTCCATGCTTTACAAAATGAATGAATCTTAAACCGTGACCTTCTAACAAACAAGCCGAACCCACCACAACTCTTCTGCCCATGACCTGGCCATGAGGGAATGGCTCGCCTTGAGAAGCCTCGTGAGAAGCACACGGCCTTCTTGTCCGGCACTTCGGTCGGGGAGTGACAATGTAAGTGAAACAACATGGTGCTTCCTTCAAAGGAACCCTATATAGCAAGCAAGCATGTTTGGCTGGGGGCATGATTCAAACACGTAAATGGGTATGTCGCCCAGCGACCATGGACAGGGTGGTCTAACCATCAATACGTGCAATCGGGGAACGGGCGCCCTGCTGCATTCAGGCGAAGTGGCTTCTTTGGCATCTAATTTTGCCGGCTGTTCTGTCCAAAACTTCCCGGAAATCAATGATCAACCTTTGGAATTGTTGACAGAACAGGGTAAAACAGAGATTCGGTCACATCCAGTCGGTTGGCTCACGTCTTCGATTTCAACTCTTTGGAACATGGGAGGTGCGCAAACCCAAAGGTCATGACAACCTTCAACCACAAAACATTGGAACACGGGCAAAGCACCCTCATTCAGCTCGTGGCCAAGAACTGCAGTCTCCATGACCCTTTAAAAATGGGTCCATGGCCCCCATTATTTGGGTACTGACCCCATTTTTAAAGGGTCATGGAGACTCCAGGCAATGGAAAAGGTGTGCTCACCCCCCGGAACCGAAGAAACAACTCACCACGCTTCGGGTAAAAGCCGCCGCGGCGCCGCTTGCAGCGTGGACATCTCCCGCTGCTCCGAGCGCAGCTGATCCAGGGCCCCGTCCGCCGCCGCCTCCTCCGAGCGCACCTCGAGCTGCGCGAGCTGCACAGAGAGCGACTCGATCTCCGCCAGGTGCCTGGCCCGAGCGCGCGAGCGCGGGAGGCAGTGGCTGCCTTCAAGGCGTTTGCCGGGTGCGTCATTTTTTTGTCGGTTGCTTTCTGCTCCCCTGCAAAAAGCTTGACTTGTAGTGGTTTAATGGAAAACCACATTAGTTGGCAAATAGTTGAAGTCCTAACATCCAAGCAAAATGCCCAAAAGAGTAGCGAGTCAGCGGTTTGTCTCAGGGGGGGTCTTTTTGCCACCTTTTGTGAGAAATTGGCGACCCCCAAGGAATGCTTCAC